GCAAAGATTTATCTTTGATGAATCTATGTTGGCTTGCATTTATGATATTACATACTCCTCTGTGGCTCAGTAGTAAGTCTGAGGACCTATAACGCTAAGATTCGGGTTTCAATAATCGCGATAGGCACAACAAAGAGAGCTCATTGTGTAGCTTTTGCTTAGAAGTAAACAAATCTTAGTGTTAGATTTCACTAAATATTTTGCAGAGGTTCTTTTATCAAACTCTCAAGAATGTTTTCCACTTCAAAAGAACATGGGCAACTTTCATCGCCTTCTTTAAAAAATAGGAGTAATATTAGCAGCTCTGCAATCGTCAGGCACTTTCCAACTAGCCATTGACCTGCCAAAAACGAAAGTGAGACTCGTGTTTATGACCATCGACTTTCTTTAAAGCCCTAGGAAAAACCTTGTCGGGTTATGGTACTATATATATTTTTAATTTCTTAATCTTTTCTATGTACCACCAAGGGAATATACATAGCTCCGGCCAATTCTAGTATCTCCCATAGAATTTAGGGTCACTGATGTTACTAATGTGGTGCAGAACAGTACCATATATTAGTTACTCCTTAGGTAATATGTAAATTTTTCGAAATTTCTATTTTTCGTTCAGTTCAGTTCAGATGCAAAAAATTGCTAAAGTAAACAGTTCAACTTTCGTTACTCTGCTGCACAGACTCGGATCCACTAATTGACCATCAAGCATGTTCTCTTGCAGGAATGATAGCTGTGATTTCTCTCATGATGTCTCAAGATAGAAGGCTATCTTTTCTATCAGCAAATTGGGTAATGGCTCAGGGATTCCATGCCTTTACATTTGAAGACATTTAGCTTTAGGGTTCAGGGATACCATGTCTCTACATTTGAAGACATTTAGCTTTATGTCATGTGAGCAATTTGCCTTTGTTTTTGCTATTATGTTGTGTATTTAAGATCAAGTTCTCCCTTGTTAAACAAATTTTGTACAGATTTCGCCGAGACTTAGCTTTAACTAGATTTCTTAACTTAGCATTTTAATTTGTTAAACAGCAAGTGTTAACTTTATTTTACATTACCTTTAGGAGAAATTTTATTTTATATATTTCTCTTTTTTAAGCTTATTAGGGTGAGTGAGACTTACACTGATATGGTAACAGAGAGCAAGTAAAGGTTTCTTTTTCACACCTCACTCTCTTTCTCGTCGGTGAAACCCACCTACTTGTTTTATATTTGTATATTTGACCTGATTTTGTTTTTGTGAATAAAGATTGCTGTGCTAAATATCTTGGGTATTATCTCGTTAATGAACTCATTTAGAGTTGGGAGAGAAACACAAACCTATACCCTGTAGCATTGAAACTGTCGAACTTCCTGTTAGCGGGTCACAACTGACTGCTGTGCAGGAATATTGCGTGGAGTATATCACTTAATATCACCTCTTGTAAAAACAGAAGAGAACATTTCCAAGTCAGTCATTTCATAGTTTTCAACAACTCTTGGGCTACTCTTTTACCAACGAACAGTGGGATTGACCGTCACATTATAACGCCCCCACGGCTGAAAGGGCGAGCATGTTTGGTGTGATGGGGATTCGAACCCGCGACCCTCAGAGTACGAGTCGAGTGCCCTAACCACCTGGCCATGCCGAGCCTCTCTAATGTATTAAATTCTCAGCAGATACCAAATATTAAAAACAATAATTTCAACACTTAGAATAAATACTTTACCCTTCTTACTTAGTGAACACTTGTGATTATTTTTTATTTTGATTCAATACTTAATTATTTTAGTATCCAATAACTTTGTACTACTTACTAAAAGCAACAGTAAGCTAAGCATAAAATCTAGTACTAACTAATTTCATTATATTAGCTGTATGATTCCAAGCTAATGTAACGAGAATCCACTGAAATGCCTACTCTAAACTTTAATAATAGCAAAATAATGCTTATTTTCTCCAGAAACTTTATAATGTACAACTACAAATAGTTATTATCTGTCTCAGATCTCAAAAATATTCTATATGTTACTCTCAGTCATCAGCTCAAAACTTAACTTTAGTGTTTGAAAGAGAAAAATGTTGTTCTGTGGATATATCTACTGAGCTTGTGAGCAGGGGAAAAGAATCTTCCATCGGACAAAGATCAGGAGGGTCGGAAGAGGTTCAAGAAATTTCTCCTGTCTACAAGAAGATTTTTTTGTCCGTTCGTTGAAGTTCTCACAAAGGTACTCAATGGTTATCTGTGCTAGCCATCCTTAATTTTGAAGTGATAGACCAGAGAGATATTGGTAAGTCAACATTACCCATCACTAGCTCTTTGGTTATCCTTTACCAACACATTTTGTGATGTACAGTCATATTATAAGACTGAAAGAGCAAACATATACGGTGACGAGTTTCGATTCCGTTACTCGCAGATTATGAGCTGAACACTTTATCCATCAGGCAATGCCAGGCCCTACAAACGTATATACAAATGTTTGTTACACTGTTGGTTATCACCATTGTATCCATAGCTTTAAATAATTGTCTTTTTTTCGTCAAAGTCCACACAGGCTGGTTCAATTACTTTAGAACACAATTGACAAGACGAATCATCTTCTCTGCTCTGTTATTACAACACAGTCTGTGATAATTTCACTTTAAAAATCGCCACTAGACGCTCTTTAACACTAAACTCTTTGCTACACCGCCACTAAATTCATGATCACGTGAATGTTTGGTATCTGTTCTCCGCTGGTTAAATAATTAATTACCTGATACGTACACAAACCAAAGAAAAATATTGAGTGCTCTAGCTTTAATACATAATCAATATAGCACTGTTATCAACATTGAAGCTGTACGTTATGTATAGAAAAGCACCCCAGAAGAATGGAGCATGCTAACATGTTATTTCAGCAGTGCATACATGTATTATACATATATGATAGCCAATGATTGAAATAGCTAATATACTATTGTTGTAGAGTTGTTTAAATTAGTAAGATAACTTAACAATTAATAACTACTCTGCATGTAGATAGTACAATACTTTACTATAATAAAACATATATATTTCTGCTAATTTAAGTCTAGCTCCCCATGCAGTGTTACAACAGAATGATGATTTGTTGACTTTTCATGGAATGTTTGTGGATTTTATGTGAACAGCTATTCAATTGTTTAAGCTATATTTCATGTAAAATTGCTTCCAGATTTAATCTCATAGCATCTATTTTTTTACATATTTTCTGAGAAGGGCATGCCCCTAGACCCCCTTAGTATTAGCATGCTAATTGTGCTTCGCATAATATGTGTTGGCTTTTGATCTCACAGATTAGAACCCCTTTCAAACATTCTGTGTACGGGCCTGATTATACATTTTATATTGCATCTGCTGAGTTAATAGAATGTGTGTTCATCATAAGCCTATTTCCTCTTTATTCCTACTTGCGTTTACTTGCATATTAAATTCGTTTTTCTCTGTATTTGGAGGTTTCTCAACCACGGGTGGCTGAGTGCACCGCAATGGTTAGTAAGCCATAAAAAACAAATTGTGCTTCGCGCTTTAAGACCATGGGTGCGTTAGAAAAATAGTTATTAAGTCCCATTATTCGGTCTTGCAAGAGTTGGCGGTGAGTATTGTTGACTAACTGCCTTCTCGCTCTAGTTTATTATTTCAAAATTAGGGACGGCTAAAAGAGATAGTACTTGTGTAGCTTTAAGCGAAATCCAACAAAACAAATAAATAATCCTCTGTCTCTGTTTTGATTTCAGAGAAGCATCAAGACTTGGACCCATAACATCAGAGACATTAGAATCACGTCTTCTGATTTCATAACACTTAAGATCCGCCACTTACAAAAGATATGCATAAATTCAAAAGACAATCGTTCACCTTTTTGTAAACCATCACTTGGCAGGATGAAAAGACTACTTAACTTGTTATTCAAGGGTTGTCCATAGTAAGTTTATAGGCACAGAATTACATATTTTAAAACGGGAAAACTGTTGTAACTCTTGAATTATTTATTGTTTTTTAAACTGTAAGCACATATTATGTTGAGAAATAAAGCTGTACATGTAAGAAAGTAGTTAAAACTGGTATATATATATATATATAAATAGAAAGAGTTTGATAAGCAACTATTACAGACATCCTGCTTTGGTTCTTCATAGTATTATACATATATTGCTTGAAAAGTAAGTTAAAAAACGAGAAGGTCTACATTTTTCTCCATAAAAACTTTATTTTGACATTCAAAATACGGAAATGTATTATAGGTACTGAATAAAACTGTTCGTTCCAGTACACAGCTTGTGGCGACATTTGTCTTCAGCCTATGCTCTCACGTAAACTCTTGCCATAACATTTATTTGGTAAAGCAACAAGCACTGTGCATCTTATTTTTATGAACTGCCTTACTAATTACTGTAAGCGCGCTGGCAACGAATCTAAACACACACGTAGGGTTGACGAACTGATGTATTTCTAATGAGATTTGAGATGATTAAAATTACACGGATGAAAAAATTATTCATTTTACATGTATCCTATGTAGCTAAAGAATTTTAATTGAGGTCTATTTTTCATGTTGAAAATATACATGAAAACACTAAAGCTAATACAATAAACATCTGTAAAAACCAAGAAACATTACTTCATAAAAAACATTCAGGTATAACAGCTAGAAGTAATATCATAAATTCAAAGTTTTTTCTAGAATGCAACTTATACGTCTTGTAATTGGAAAGATACATGCTGTATTTCAGCAACTCAAAAAAAAATGTTCTGAAATAAATGACGTCACCTACCAATGACGCGACCTATCGCAGAACCTTAACACTTGGGACTAAACGTTACAAACTGAGCTTCAGCGTGTTCGTTGGATTGCTACTTTAATTTGGCAATGTACCAAGGAGATATTTTACAGAAAATCGCTATTAGTTGGTGTAGTACTTATCCAATAACCATAGATCACTCGTCCTCATGTATTATCTGAATAATGAATATTCATAACGTAACTTTCTAACATTTCACAAAAGTAATTTCTTTCGTCATTCACACGTACGATCATTTGAAGATACGAAGCTCAACAGTAGGTAGCTAGGAAGATTAAATATTTGACTAATTAGAATAGCTCAGTTATATGAAAGGATTATACTGTCGTAAGCAGATTTTTGAAAAGAACTAACCATTAAACTATAATGAATTGATAGTTTTTTGTTTTTGCTTATTGACCGTCAGATTACCGATTTTTTTTTATACCATCCGCTATAAAAGTTAGGGGTCCACATACGTCTTCATATTGAGTAATATTATGTTTTAACGATAGAACTCTTGGAGCTGTCCTAAACATCGGGTGAAACCACCCTTTTATATGACAACACGTAGGGAACCCTAGCGGTAAAGTGGAATTAATTGCAATACTGACAGTAATGACGTCTAAGCATTTTTGTGATGTACATGTTATTAGGGACCTATATGTTACAAACGTATTGATATATGACAATATGGCAAAAATAGTTGATATGCTTATTTTGAATTAACGCAAAGTTACATAATGGACTATCTGCGCTCTGTCCACCACGGGGAATCGAACCACGGATTTTAGCGTTTTAAGTCCAGACGCTTAACGCTGACACACTGTATTTTTGGATTATTATAAAGCCATACTTAAATCACATCCTCTTTAGTTGCCAGAAAGTTTTAGGGAAAAAGTAAGCCTTAATAAAGAGAAGTGAGACTGATAATAAAAATTAATAAGACAAGACTGAGGCGACTAACTGTAGTGTTTATGCGACTATATAAGTATATAACTTCTTGAAGATCCAGTTCTGGTAAGGCTGAGAAGAGAAATAATCAGTAATGATTATATCCATGGTTCATTCTCTGTGATCTAAGAATAAAGTTAACTGGCGTCAAATAAATTACGCAGTTGAAGCAACGTCACGTGTGACGTAAATAAGAACTAACCATATTAAAAGAGTGAACCACTTGATGCTTCCCACTTAGCAGTTTAAAAATCGGTGTCAATTTGTATCTAAATTAACAAGTTTTCTTTAGAAATTTGCTCTAGTGGGATCAAGGACATATTACCATTAATATAAAAATCTAGGACAATAGTTATATTTAAATATGATATATATCAAGAAAAATGTAATTTCATACACTCGCCCCCCAGTGGCACAGCGGTATATCTGCGGACTTACAACGCTAGAAACCGGGTTTCGATACCCGTGGTGGGCAGAACACAGATAGCCCATTGTGTAGCTTTGTGCGTAACTACAAACAAACAGTTTATACTCTTGTATTCAGTGGCTAATGAACTACTAATAATTA